ATCTGCAGCCTGAAGCACTCTCTTCGCAGCCTCGATTTCCTCGCTGGATAGCTGAATCTCCGAGAGCTTCGCGGCGATCCGCTTCGGCCCCATCGAGGCGCGATGTCCTGGCACCGAACGGGATGGCCCGAACTGGCGCCAGCAATGCTCGATGGAAAACGGCTGCAGTGACGAGAGCGGTGCCATCCCTCCAGAAGGGGAGGTGAGTTCAGGCTGAAGCAGTTGAAGCTGCAAAGAGATCGTCGTTGACAGAGGCCCACTGGATAATCACAACACTGCAGCCTCGACCCTGGATCCCCTGAGTACCGACCACGGAAACCTTATTCAGAGAGAAATGTAGTTAGTTACATGTGTTTCACACAGACGGGCTGGACTTACACGGACTCCGAAAGAGACACATAATGTTCAGGATCGACTCCTCCGAACTTCGTTCGCCATCAAATTGAATTATAGATTGAATTATAGCTATAATTCAATCTATAATTCAATCTATAATTCAATCTATAAAACCATATATATATATATATGAAAAACGTGATTGAATTATAGATTGAATTATAGATTGAATTATAGCGATAATTCAATCTATAATTCAATTTGATGGTTCGCATGTGCACCCTGGGCATTGATTGCACTGCATGGTTGTGAACTCGCACTGCAAAAATGGAGCACACAGTTTTCAACAGTACAGCAGTCGTTGCCAGCGGGATCTGATCTACAGGGCTGGGCCTCGGCGAGCGAGCACGCGCCGCCGCGCTCGGCGACGGCGCATGCGAAACACTATGTGGACTCTGTCCGTGCCCATCACTTCGAGGGCTGACTGCAGATTGGCTGATCGTCTGAGTCTGTGCCATCGTCATCCACACCTCTGGGCGGAGCAGCTGATGGCCTCTTCCTGCTCGCCTGGCCCGTGCCCTTGGCCTGCTTCTTCGCCGTCGGGGTCTTGTCGGGCTTGTCCTTGCCCTTGGCCTTCTTGCCCTTGGAGCCCTTGCCAGTGCTCGTGTCCTTGGACTTGCCCTTGGTCTTCATGACTGGCTTCTCGTGCCTGCTCGATTTGACGAAGAACTTCTTCTCGTCCACCTCGTCCGCTGCATCTCGGGCCCCCTCCGTCTGCTCGTCGGCGTCCTCCTGCAACTGCGGCATGTACGGCTTGAGCTTCGCCACGCGCTCATTGAACTCAGTGCGGTTCTCTTCTATGGTCTGGAGCAGTGGTTGCATGTTCTCCGTGTGCCAGTTGATCTCATTGGTCCAGTTCTCGAAGTGCTCCATGTCTGCGAGCAGCCTTGATGCATCATGCTTGAGCTTCTCGGTCCACTTGTTGTCACCAAGCTTCTCGATCCAGCCCTGCACGACCATCATCGTGCCCATGATGTTCTTCAGGCGAAGTGACGCGCCCTCCACGGCGACGACGAACTCATCGCGTTCTGAATTCGGCTGCTCATCACGCTCATCATCGGCAGGTTGCCGCCCATCGCCGTCGTCACCGCCCTCCACGTCCACGACCCCGGAGTTGAGCGTCGGGTGCGCCGCCTCGCCCCGCTCGCCAGGCTGCTGCTGGGGCTGTCCCTCGCTGGGAGCTGCGCGTGGTATGATCTCGCCATTGCTGCCCAGGCGATGGCCTCGCCCTCCAAAGGCGACAAACTCACCAGACATAGAGGGAACTAGGGCACCCCAGAATGATCTTGGTTTGAGCCGAGAGACGGCTCTGGAACGGGCGTGTGCCATTTGCAAATCCCACCAGCCCTCTGGGCGTAGGTGGTTTAGGGAAGTTCCTCGTGAGGCCCCTTGGGGGTCTAGGGAGCTTCTTCAGGGCCTCTTGGGGACCTCTTGGGGCCTCCTGGGCGCCTCTTGAGGCCCTCTTGGGGCGCTCTTGGGGGCCTTGGGAGCGCTCTTGGGGCCATCTAGGAGGTGATCGATCAAAGGAAGGGGGCTAAATTCGGCCAACACCCTAGTAAAATCGGTGATGTTGGCTTCCTCGCCGAGGCCGTTTTGGACGCTCCAACTACCAGCGACCCCCCCCCGTCCAGGTCCAGGGGAGGGGGTTAGGGGGAGGGGTAAACCCCTCCCCGAAGGGGAAGAAGGGAAGATGGAACCCGAGGCATCCAAGAATCCCCCAGGCGCTCCAAGAGGACTCCCAAACAACTTCCAAGGGACATCCTAGGAGGCTCTTGTGCACGTCATTGTTCGTGTTCCTTCTCATCTTTCTCATCCTCCTCCCCCTCCTCCTCCTCCTCCTTGTCGGCCTACTCCTCCTCCGTCTCCTCAACTTTATCAGCCTCATCCTCCTCCTCCTTTCCTCTTCTCTCTCCTCATCCTCCTCCTCCTCCTCCCCCTCCTCCTCATCATCCGCCTATTCCCCCTCCTCCCTCCTCCCTCCTCCCACTTTTCCCACCTGCTGCCCCTCCTCCCCCTCCTCCTCCTCCTCATCCTCCTCCGACTCCTCCATCCTCGCCCTCTTGGGTAAGACGGGTCCCCCAGCCCTTTGCTACTCTGTATGCTCCCTCACTTACCCTGATCACCGCAATTCGCCTGGGCATCGTTTTTGGATGGGCTGGTGGGGATACGCGAAGCGTCAAAAATTTCAGATCACGAGGTAAGGCCGCTGGCCACCGTGACGGATCTTTCGTTTTGCGGACTTGGCTCGAACCCCGGTTGGATCTGATTGGGCCCCGAGTCGAATTGTAGATTGAATTATACGTTGAAGTATGCATGGTTCAATCATTATTCAACCGCCTTGTTGTTTCTCGTATGTTTCGGTGCAGCGACCCATGTCCTCGGATGGGCTGTTCACGCACACTGAAAAAAAAGTGGTCACATAGTGTTTGATTCCTGCAGCCCTCAACTGTTTCCCAAAAGTCAAAGTGTTTCTTCGGAGACATTCGCGAACGCGGAACCAAAGGGGCTCTCTTGAGAGGCCCTCGCCAGATCATGCAAGGCAAAACCATCGCTCGAGACATCCTCGACAAAAGCTGAGCTGTCCTCCACGCGATCCCCCAGGGGAGCCTGGAATCTACAAGATGCGCCCGTCGCTTGAAACATCCTCAACAAGTTCCGTGGACGGTGTTTCGCTTGAGACACCCTCGACACACGAATGCAATTCTTACTCTTTAATCTGACTGTAGTTCTATTTTCTGTGGGCCTGCCCTGCGCTTCGAGGTGCAACCCAGAAATTGCCTGCAACAGCGAGCCCCAAATCGCCGAGCAGCGCAGCAAAAATAAAACTCACTTGTCTTCGCCAATGGCCTTGAGCCAGCGCGAGACCTGCTTGTTAGCATACTTTGCCGCAGACTCCAATGCTGTCTCCCTGGGCCACCCCATGCCGAGTCGGTATTTCTTCTCCATGGCGCGCGCTTTGGAATACACACGGTTCCTCAGCACAGACAGGCGCACGCCCTTGATGCCGATGTAGTTGGCAATTGGATCGACAGCACTCTCGGTGGCATCGACCTTGCTCTTGGCTGGTGTCTTGCGCTTGGCCGTCGATGGCGCCTTACGCTTGCCCTTGCCCTTGCCCTTGCGCTTCTTGCGCTTGCCCTTGGCTGCATGCACATGCTGTTCTTGTCCGTCTTCAGAGCCCTCATCTGCAGAGGAATGCAGTGGCACGGATGGTTTCGTCTTATCCTTCTTGGTCTTGTTGGTGCTGGCGCACTCCTGCGGAGATGGCCCTGTAGGTGGACACGCCGCCAGCTCGGCCAGAGCTGATGCCGTCAGCGGAACGGCCCCAGGTGTCGTGGTGGCACTCGTAGACGACTTGGATCCGAACAGCTTGCGCTCCAAGTCATCTTCGCTGCTCACGGCGTCGTCTAAGCGAACCTCCTCGGCTTTCTCGTCGTCGCTGATCTCGACCGTGACGATGTTTTTTGGGGGAATCGGCACAACGGTCGGGGCGTCCTGCTTGTGCGAGAGCCTGCGATTGCCACCGTCGTTCTTCACGAGCTTCATCATGTCCATGAGGATCTGGAGTTGGCCGTAGTTTCGAGGGGCATCTTGATCGCGACGCTTCCTGTCAAGAAGAGTCGACAGCATCGTGCGGAGGTTCAGCACGCACCTCTCTATTTCTGTAGGCGTCCATTGCAGACCCTTGCCAGCAATCCACTTCCTGAACTGGCGGTTGAGCGAAACCTGGTGAGGAATGAGCCCATGTGAAGTCATGAGAATCGCGTGGAGCTCATCGAACGCCTTCTTCAAGGCTGGCCAATCAGATGTCATCCCATGCGCTGTCAAGCGCGATAAACACCACAGCTTGTCTGGGGTGCATTGCGACATCTTGATGTGTGAATCGAAGATGCGCTCAGCATCGTCATCTCCGAGGTCGCAACCAGGGGTCCGAAGGGCTGCCATGCTGAGCCAAAGTGGCTATGCAAGAACACGGTGGCATCATTTTTTTTTGGGGGGGAGGGGCATTTGCGTGCGTGTGGTGTGGTGTGGTCCAGGCATCACAGGAAAGAGAACGTTCAGGCCAAAGCACTCCCCCCCCTTTTTAGAAACTTCTGACCAACATGGGCAGCGTGGGCAGAAACAAACTTCAAAGACACACGCACAACGCAAACCATTGGCAGTCACACACCAAAATCAGGACAGCCCAGGGAACTCTGGGACGGAGGGGGATTTGGGTTTCGGATTTGGAATGGATTCCCCAATCAATCGTTACGCAGAAAATGTGCGTGTCACCCGTTACGGCGTGGCCTCCGATTTCTTAGGACACGGAGCGTTCACGATTGAAATGTGGCTCCTCCTCCAAAATGGGGCTCTCGCCTTGGGGCCTCTTACGGCCTCTTGGGGCCTACGAGCCTCTCAGGGCATCTTGGGGCCTGTGGGTCTCTTGGGGCCACATGGGACGTCCTTCCACTCTCCTGAGGGCCTCTGATGGCAAGGATGCGGACCCTATGACAATTGGAACCCATGATGGCAAGGATGCTGACCTTATAGCGATTGCGTGCTTCAGTGCAGATTGCAATGAATATTGCATTGGTGATCCAACTGTTTTTATCAGTGCACGCATCGCTGCACGTCCCAATAGCATAGTTCATCCAATCGCTTCGTCCCCACGCCGTCGGCGGGAAAAAAAAAACAGCCTTTGCGTCTCCACGCCACTGGTGGAAAAAGTACAGGCTTCGCACTCGCATATGATGAGCCGCTCCCTCACTCAGCCTGCTCCGAGGGCCCAGCGGTCGACTCCGCCAACTTGCGCTCGAGCGCCTCGACCTTTACCCAGAGAGTCTTGGTGTCCGTGGGCACCGATGGACTGCTGCCACTGCTGCCGACTGACAGGGGATCCACCCACAAGGACGGGTCCTTCTGCTTCCAGCCGTAGTGCACCCAGGAGTTGGGATCGCCCGCCTTCCACAGGACCTGGTAGGGGGCGCCATTTTTCTCGATCAGGAGCGTCTCCTCGCCCGTCTCGAGCTTCATGATGATCGCCTGCTCGTCGCTCTGGGGCTCGTTGTAGTTCTTGTCGCTGGTCACGTCGACTGTCTGGTTCGCCGTGGTGTTGATGAACCCGTGCTGCTTGCTGAGCTCATCGATCATCTTCGTGAGCGAGTCGATCTGGTCCTTCAGCTGATACTCGTACTCCGACTTGGCCATCTGCTCCTTGACATTGTCCGTCTTGCCGTGCTTCGCGCGCACCAGGCTGAGCTGGAGCATGCGTTTGTGATCCTGCAGCGTGGCTATCTCGCGGGAGATGGCAGCGCCGACGTCCTTCAGGACAAAGGCCGTGCTCTGGAGGTTGACCTCCGCCCTCCTCATCACATGGTCGTAGTTGCCGACAATGCTGCTTTGCATTGGTTCGCCTGGGACAACGCCGCGGAAGTGGCCCGTAGATGTCATCTGGGCTCGGTCGGGGTCGAGCCACGAGAGAAAAAAGACAGAGCCTCCTCGAGGCGAATATGAAGGCTCGAGGTCTTCAAAGCCCCGAGCGCTGGCTCGAGTCCCAGATGCTACTGTCGAACGTTGGGTTTCTTGTTGCCCACTCGCACGTTTCGTGACCCAAGATACCCAGGACACCCAATATACACAAGATACAAAATATACCCCAAATACCCCAGGTATACCCCAAGATACCCCAGACACCCAAGCCACCCCAGACACCCAAGGCCCCAATATACTTTCAATATAGCCAAGATCCGCTCGGACCCGTAATTTGGATCCCCGTGGCATTTTTAAAGGAAAACCATATCTCTTACGGGTTTTCGTTATCTTTTTGAAGGATTTATGTGTTTTACAGGTGGTTTTTAAAGGATTCCGCTTGTTTCTAAAGTTATTCTTTAAAAAGCAACCGTAAAATCATAAGAAACCGCAAGAAAATAAAGAAACCGCAAGATAATGAAGATGTTGATGGTCGGGGCAGTGCACGTGCTGCGTGCTTTTCGCGCTCTCGGCTCTCTGGCGTCTGCGGGCCAGGCCCCCCGGACCGACCCGGACCGGCCCCGGGGACCCTCCAGAACGGCACGGACGCGCCCAGGAGGGCCCCGAGACGGCCCAAGGGGCCCCCATGACGGCAGCACAGGCTCGAGTGTGGCTCCAAGAGCCGCCCAAGGGAGGCCGAGGAGAGGAAGCCCGCGGCGTCCCGGGGAGCCCTCCCCCAAAAGACGGCCCCCGGGACCCCAAACTGGCTTTAAGTCGGGCCTGTCCCCCTACAGGGGGATTTTCGACGAAAAATAAAAGATACCCCCTAAAAATCAAAAAAATAATCCAAAAATAGTCTGGGGACTATTTTTTTTACCTTTTTGGAGTATTTTTCGTCGAAAATCCTCCTGTTGGGGGACACGCCCGACATAAAACTGGCTCCAAGAGGCCCCCAAGCAGCCCGCACAGGGCCCCCATTCTCCCCCTCCGGGGGCTTCGACGGAGCTCCAGAGGTCGCAACGTTGGCCGCCAGCAGGCTCCAAGGATGTCCCCCTATCTCCAGGAGGCCTCGAGGATGCTGAGCCCCCAGAGGCTCCCGAAAATCCACGCTGGCACCCCCCCAGCTGCACAAAGCCCGGACAACATTACAAGCCGTCCCGTTATCCTCCGTCTTTTCCTCCCTTCTTTTACCGTAGCCGATGTCGATGTCATCCCGTTCCCTCATTCTCCCTCATTTTCCGAATCCCATCATGAAAAAACTATATCGTCCATCCGCGACGTCACTCTGGGAACATCTCGCTTTATGCGCGACACGCAACATATGTCAGCGCTTCCTCCCGAGAAGCGAAGGGTAAGTGAGCTCCATAGGAGGAGTAGCGACTGTCGGCCTTCTAGCACCTGGACAGTTGAAGGCAGCTTATGCGCGCGACGGCGCCCAAGAAACAGCCAGCAAGCGCCTGGGAAACTTCGACGATGCTTCAAGACGCACCAAGACGCCCACAAGTTCTCACTTCGTCTGGGGGTCGGCGGAATGGCGTAAGCCTACTGAAGATATGAGTTGATGCACCTATAGATGTATATGTGCATATCAATAGAAAGCTTCGACTGCTAGGCTCTGTTCTGGCTAGGACTGGATTCATTTGCTAGGAGCCTTTGTCTGTTTTAGTTCCCCTCCTCCATCTCCAGTGCCCTCCTCGCCCATCTCCTCGTGATTCGCTCGTCCTCCCGTCGACGAATGTTATGACAACATGTGTTGGCTCAGACTCGGTCAGGGAGCCATTCGATCAGAGTTCCCTCTGGCGATGCTCTACCTTGAGATATGGCAATGTGCACATCCACGGTCTCTGCACCAGCTCAACGCTGTTCCTACGGCTTTCGAGCCCACATGCAATACCATTCAGGGCCTCCGATCTGGAAGCAGCTCCGCCAGGGCCATGACATACAGTCAAAAACCCTAATAAGGACGCGCGGTAAGGACGCAAGACCCTTAGAGGCCGAGGTTGGGATGTTTGTGGCGGCGGACGACGAAAACCCCAAGGACGCAAGAGCAAGGAAGAGCAAGGACGCAAGGGTACCCTGAGCAAAGTCGCGCGTCCTGATCAGGGTTTCTGACTGTATGGCTCTCTAGCCCACATGCAATACCATTCAGGGCCTCCGATCTGGAACCAGCTTCGCCAGGGCCATGACATACCGCATCATGGAAAAGGGTATGGATTGCGAGCGCCAGGTGCAGCCACAGACTTGCGATCGGAGACATATCCCAGGCTACTGACAAGCCCCCCAGGAGGTCAAGCAGAACCTCGTCGAGTGCATCATGTAGACAGCCAAGGGCCTTCGGGTTGGCATCCAAGTCCGTGGCGATGCGTTTCAAACCAGGCGACGCACGCGAGATCGTCCGTGCCCTTCGTCTCAAAGGAGTGGCTGTCACGGCTGCTAGACATGTGAGTTACCTCGGCGTGAACCTGAGCGCAGGACGGCGTCACATTCGGGGTCAGGGGGGTAGAAGAAATACCAAACATCTTCCAAGGCATCGCAGAATCATCAAATATACCAGGTCAATTTGTGGATCCCAGCTGACATCTCGACTGGAAAAGCATGGTGCACAGGCGGCAGGAAGCTACGGATATCAGACTCACGTACTCACAGACTCATGGCATGCTGCGCCTAACCTGCGACGCTAAGTCAGCGTCGCAGGTTAGGCGCAGCATGCCATGCCAGGGCCAAAGGGCGACGTCTGAGATCAGTGGTCGAGCTGGGGGCGAATGGTCAAAACCCCAGCGCCCGCTTCACTCACGGCACTCTCGCTATGGCTTCAACAATGGAGGTCGCATCCAGAACTACGAGCCAGCATCCGTCGCGCATGGCCGAAGGTCAGACAACAAGTTCGAGGCGACCCCAGCAGCCCAACCGAGCAGGCACGTACGCGGGTCATTATCAGCAATTAGATGCCATTTCCTTGAATGTCAGTGGGCCCCAAGAGCACTCACAGAATGGACGCCCCGAGTCCCCGCCAAGTGGGAGCTTCGTGACCGCAGCCTCACAGGTATTGAAGCTTTAGATGGCGCCAGCTTTCGAGAGCTGTTGTAGGAGATCAAGAAGGCATCCATGGCCCCCCACTGGGCTAAGGCTGAACTCCACTTCGACGGTGCAGGAATCAAGCATGGATCCCGCAGCTAGTCGAATCGTCGGCTACATCGTCAGCTGTCTACAGTGTCACCCTACGACAGGAGGCTTGCAAGAGTCCTTCTCAACATCGCGATGGGAGGAGTTTGACCGAAGGCACGCATAGGCGGCGAGCCCTGGGGGGAAGTGAGAAGGGGCGGGCATTCTCAGAAGGCTCGAAAGTCCCCCGGACTTCTGAGCAGTTTTGGACGCCTTTCCCCAAAGACACAGAAAACTTCTCAGACGGCGCGAGGGCTTCCCCTTCTGCCTTCTCCTTCTCACTGCCCCTCCTCGCTCGCCGCCGAACGCAGCAAGGAACAACTTCGGCACCCACGCGTTGCGTCTACGACAGTGGGGAGGAGCAGCAGCACTGCCGGAACGTCGCCAGGACTCCCGGCCCACCCGTTTTTTTAGTCGGGAAGTGCAGGATGCACCGCTCGTCGCCAGGGCTCACGGCCGATCAGTCTTTCGATCGGGTGCTGATGCTTACCATGATTTGCGTGTTAGAAGTGGTCAAAATTCGGAGGCATCTCATCATAGACATTTGGGCTGTTGTGCGCATGCTGGGTCCCCAGCGTATCAGCAGAGTGATTGCCTCGTACCCGCGGCCACGAGCCAGCACGAACCATTCGCATGCTTCTGGCAGCGGGTCTCGATCCACAAACCCTGAATTGACACGCCGAGCCCAAACTACACCGACGACTGGGACTACGATGTCCTCAACGTTGGCGTGGTCGCGGAGTGCCGTCCGAGAGGTAGGGAGGGGGTCCCAACCTATGCCGTTGGGGATGCTAGCGGAGGGCCAGTCTCCGCTGGCCCTCGTCTCAGGAGGATTTTGGTTTGGGCACCACGGTTCTTCCTTGACTTGACCCCTGTGGGGAGCGTGTGCTCCATCACGGGAGGACTCTGAGAGCCCAGGCTTAAGTCGGGTGCGTCCTCCGAAAGGGGGATTTTGGACGAAAAATAATCCCAAGATGGCCAAAACATCCTCAACAAAACGTCCCCTGATTATTGTCTGACTATGTTTGAATATTCCTCCAGTAAAAGGACACGCCCGACTTAAATCTACTGGCCCTCCACAGGGACTGACGCGGACGCATGGGTCCGCATCGGCGACATCCTGAAGCGCACGGCCCAGAGGATAGGCCCGTCAAGGAGCCCCGCGATGCTCCCCCCTCCCAAGTGCACGGCTGTGATACCGTGGTATCACGCAGTGATGGGACATTATCGTCCTCATTCTCCTCCTGCTCCTTCCCCTCCTGCTCCTTCCCTCATCACCATTGCGTTCGTCCGCTCACACCCGGACGAAACTGTGATCGTGGACGGGCAGGCCCCGAGATGGCAGATCATTGGGAACACCGTGGTCAGCGATCTGGTCGGCCAGGTTGCCCTCAGGGTGATCAGCATTGTTTACTTGGCATTTCAACATTGGGCGGAAAGGGGGGGGGGAGGGGGGGTCTGGCTCCGGACCTCTGCTTAGTGCGGCTGTTTGGAACCGTGCGTCCATCCTGGGGGAGACTCCACCTGTTCGAAGCAGGCGCCAAGAAGCAGCCAAGATCCACTCCAGGGGGGGGCAGGGGGAGGGGGGGGTGAGAAGGCTCGCGCCGATCGGAAAAACAAGGAATAAAAAAACGATCACATGGCGGATCGATTCCAACACCGTGGTCGGCGATTCGAATATTTGAGGCCAAGCGGCAAACGGACCCTGTGCGGCACCGGCTGCTCCGATCGACGTCCGACTACTTCTAGGTGGGTGGCGCGCCGAGGAGGAAGGATTCTTCTCCGCCCCCTCCTCCTCCTCCTCCTCCTCCTCCCCCCCTTCTCCTCCTCCTCCTCCTCCTCCTTCTCCTCCTCCTCCTCCTCCTCCGCCTCCTCCTCCTCCTCCTCCTCCTCCTCATCGTCCTCCTCCT